GAAGCACGAAGCACTCCGGTTTGCACGTGTACTCATGTTCGGCCTTTGCACAGGAAAAAGAGCTGGGGAAAGAGCAGGGTCAAACCAGCCGTGTCAATGATCTCAAGTATGGTTCGTTTTCGTCCCACGACCCAACCTTGCAGCCTACGACACACTTTGGGATGGCACAACGGCACTTTGCAGTCCAAGAAAATGTCACGTCCGTCACGGTCACAGTCGCTTCTCAAACATCGCGTCCAAAACCTGAAAGTGGAGGAACACCTGTCAGAGCTTCGTGGCACTGTTTCACGCGAAAACAACCACCGACTTCGAGATCGAGGCATGTGGTGGTAGGAACGACAGGTCATCTGAGGGGTCGATTTGCATTCGCCGACATGGAGATTTTATCTTCAAGACATGACAAGGCCCATGCAGTAGTGTCCGAGTGTCTACAGGAGGTGCAACACGTCTTGTCTGGTTTCTGCATGTCTTGTCCCAGCAGCTGGAAGGTGCAACTCTTCGTGGCAGACAGCACATCGGCCTATAGCTTTCACCCAGTCCAGCTGCTTTCTGCTTTCACCAGCCTCCCAGACGTGTCGCATTCGCGACACGTGGCACACCTGGAAATCGAGCACTGAGCCATGGCCAAGGCTGCCAAGCGATTGCGACCTGCGCCACGAACCTCCATGCGTTCGCTTCGAGTCGGTTCATGGGGTCTGGTCGGAGGAGTGCATGGCCCACACGTGGTCCATCTGCCAAACACGAAGCATCTTCAACCAATTCATCTCCAACTCTTCTCAATTTCGAAGCGACCTCGCCATCAGGTTCGTTCTTGCGGCTGGTCCAGAGGGCGGGCCAGACTCGGAAACTATTAGCTGGGTGTTCACGTTTTGCCGTCACTTTTGCCAATGCATTCCCTGGAATTCGAACCATGCATGCCTAGATGTTCCAACATTGCAGCAAATGTTTGCCTGCTGACTTCGAACGAGGGAAAGCAACCAAGAACAACTGGTTGTACGGCAATTGAATTTGAATCTTCGATTTCTTTAAAAAGACTCAGCAACACATCCACGTCAATCAAAGGGGCTTATCACACTCATATGACTCATATGTGTCACCTTGAGCACTTGCTACATGGCCTTGCTCGAAGCCCACTCCAACCCTCTTCAAGCCACGACCATGCAAAGAGACACCAGAAACGGCAGATGTTGGTGCGAACCAGCTGCTTTTAGACAGATTCAGCCAACTCTTCTGCGCGCTGCGCATGCTGCACTTACTGCTTGTCAGTGATACCGTGGATGCATGTGGATGCGGAACACAGGGCCATGTGGCCAGCCTCGCACAGTGGGGGAAACCTTTAGACACTGCGTTTTTCACGCCAGGAGCCTCACCCCTCTTCAGGGCCTTTGCTTTTGGATCTCTCCGAAAGGGCGTCATGAAGGGGAGATCGGGAAACTGCTCGGTGAGCTCACTCATCGACCAGAAAGTGTGGACGAAAGATTTTTTACATCAATCCTTGTGGTTGAGACTGGGAAAACATCTATTTGTTTCTGGTTGGAGCCGAGTTTCCAGGTCAAAATGATATACGGATATTTGCCTTTGACCTGCAAATTCAATGCCTCTAAAAGTTGTGTGGTGGGGCTTCGCAGGTCTTATCTTCAGAGCTGGAACAGTGTGTTGGTTTCAAGCCTAGCATTCAGTGATCCTGCTGCATGGGCGTAGTTCAATGTCACTTGGGCACAAGCTGAAATGATGCCAACGGTGTCTGGCCACTCCTGGGTGCAAAGCAAAAGGTGCACCATATATTTTTTGAGCTGCTCCAACTTGCTAGGTCGATCAAAGCCTCTTCGAGATGCTGTTTCCATGTGGTCAGCTTAAATCTGTCGGCGGTCAGGGGCACTGTCAGGGGCAACTTGAAGAGTCCCAGTCTGACCGTCTGCTGACCTCGATGCAACCGATGACCACCGGCGACCACGCGAAACCTGCACTCGGTGGAACCGGCGCCCCCCGGCGTTGCTAAGCGGCCCAGCTCGACGACGGCGACGGCGAGTGAGTTCTGTGAGGTGGCAGGCTATCGGAGTTCTGGACTTCGGAGTGAGGATGTGAAAAGGGCCGGTCAGTCTTTGAGGGAAAGGTCTTTGCGCAAAGAGATCTTTGCACATCTCACATTTGCTTTTGGCTCACAGACTTCGGATCACCCTCTTGTCAGCGGTTCGGTCGAAGAATTCAATTGGTTCAATTGCTGTTGAACGTGTTGAACGTGGTCAGCTGTTCGAAACGGTGGCTTTCAGTCACCGGGACATGTGCAACGAGTTGGACAAGGCGGTTTGTCTGATGTTTCAATGGGTTCAACTGCACACGTCCAGATCCCGTTGCAACCTACTGCAACTGATCTACGTCACTTGCAGCGCTGCTCAGCTGTAGTCACTCGATAAAACATGAGTTTCTTGATGAACACGTTGATGGCTACAAATCAGGAGCAAAAGGAGGAAAATCTGACATTGCGCCACACTGATCAGATTGAGACTGATCAAATGGAAGATGTTTCATCTTCTTGCCCCAAGAGACCCAAATGGTCAATGTGTCTCTCTAGCGCTGTGCAAAGCCAAACACTGCGGCTCCAAAACATTTGAAGTTCCCAAGTTAAAAACATTGCTTGCCCCTGAAAAAATGAGCATGGCAAACACAAACAAATACCTGCCGTGACTGCACTTCGAAACATGAGTACAAGTACCTGTTTTACGGTTTCATATCCCGCTTTCGAATTTTCAAATCAAATAGGTACTTTGGAGGGTCTAGGCACTTACTTCGAGTCATATCTGGCATCTCTTCTGGCATACTACCTGACAGCATCTCTTCTGTGCTGACTTGCTATGCATCCTGAGCGGTGATTCAAACGAAGGAAAGACATGATGGTAGTACCGACAGGCAATTCTGACAAATGACCTGACACACTGACAATATAAATTTAGTGACATCATCTCGCCCTCCTCGTGCATGAATGACATCTGCTCCAGTATCCTTATATTCAATGATACTCAGTGTACTGACATCACACATACGGTATGCCACGTGTGTCTTTGGCATTGCCACTCTTGCGCAGCCGCACTCTCAGAACGTGAGAAGACTGAGAAAGACTGGTGTCGGGGGAAGAGTGAGGAATGATTACACCAATGGCATCCAATCGCAGAAGACGTCCTAATCTGTGACACCAGTAACCAAAAACGACATGCACCAGGACATCACTGAGTATTCTCACCACACAGGTAGCGAGTACGAAGCCGAAATTGGATCGAGTACGTACCGCAATACTATGGGGCACAGAAGTCAAGCATCATGGTGAGAACGAGTCTAAGAGGTGTCTACACTTTCTCCATCCACTTGTTCGGTGGACCTGCCCACTGCGGCCCTTGCTCTTGCGGTCCGGTAGTGCCCTCTGCGATCTGGTACTTGAGGAGGAGCAGGAGGAGGAAGAGGAGACAGAGGAGACAGCAGACAGAGACGGGAGCCTCTTCTAGAATCGAACAACCCTCACCTGACAGGTGAGGAAAAAAACACCGGATTCGACATTGCAGTTTCAACACAGTTTTAGTAGCGTTCACATTCACTGGGTTCGCCGGGTTCTCCCCAGTTTACCAAGCTCACTTCTCCATCGGCTGGGGGCTTTGGTGTTGGGTGCTGGATGGAAACGTGTAGACGGTGTAGACGAAGCGCTTAAGAAGCGATGGGCAAAAGCATATAGTCTTGCTTGTGATTTGCTTGAAGTTTGGTCATGTTCAAATGAAATTTAACAGCAAAAAGACTTTGCAAGTTCGCTTCGTTCGATTCGTTCCTTTTCTTCGCCCAACTCGCTCGAACAGCGCAGCACATCTTCCACTCGCTTTCGCGCCTGTCACAAGGCAGAGAAATGACCGACATCTTCTCAGCTCTGGGGTGGTGAATGGACACCCCGTTCATCACCTCTTTTCGGGGCGAAATCAACAGGGAGCTCCGGGAAGTAGGCAAGCCGTGCAAGTCAAGCGCCCCGAAAACACCCTACATGTTCTGCCCCGTGACCCCCCCGTGGTCCGACTCAGAGAGCTCAAACGCCGTCTGACATCCAAGTTCAAGAGAATCAAGAACCCTGAGAGTCCAAGACTATTTTAGAAATGGTCGTTGTAGATGACCCAAATTTCGGAATGTCCTGTACCTTCAGCGGTGCCAAATCATGCCAAAATACAGCCGAACTGGGTTTATCAGTGATAATGATTCATTCCGGGTTCGATTCCCCCCTCCCAACCCTCTCCGTCTAGTGTTTTGCAAGGGCATGTATGTTTTATGTTTCCCTGGATGTTTAAATCTTCACTGCGCGTTAGGGATGAAAACTTGAGGATCTCCTCTTACATGGAAGTCTCCTTTTCTCTGCCAACCAGTGTATTTTCTCTGCATTGAATGTTCTGCTGGAAGCACGACTTCCCACTGATTCCAAGCGATGTTTCACATGTTCGAGCATTGCTTTGCGCTCGCCGCGCGCCTCTTTCTGCGTCGCCCGAAGCTACCCGACCTCCCCATCCTTCTTCCCTGCACGCGGGCCGGAGGTCGGCTGCAGGCAGTAGCCGGCTAGTTTCAAACATCGATTGGTGACCATCGTTGTTCCCTTTCTCTCAAAGGGTTCCATCGACCACCATGAAAACGTCTCGTGCAGGCCTCCTTTTCCTGCCGGACATCGCGCACACCGCCCCGGACATTCGCCGTGACCACTTTCAATAAAGCGCCAACAATTCGGGTTTCGTCCACCAGAGATGCTTTCTGATCACCTGAAACTATGGAAAGGGTGGTTTATGGACACCCTGACAGTATGTTCCATCCAATAAAATCTTCCCCAAAAGTAAAACTGTTGCTTTGAGGTCGACACTTTGTGTCGACTGAGTGACCGCTCTTGAGCCGACGCAGGCGTCAAAGGCAGTTCGGAACCAAACTGCGCCGAGTTTGGTGTGTATGCGCTGTGCCGAGTTCGCCGCTGGAAACATATGGTAGTTGACGCTGAAACAGCAGGATCGACAGGATCGCCCCTTTTGGGTTCTGGTTGTTGTTCAAATGATTTGTCTTCAAATCCTTACACAGGTCGGCATGCCGAACTCATCCCGCACTCCTTTTGGAGTGGGGGGTGAAAAGCTTCGGTGGACCTTGGATGTCTCGTGGCCATGGTCCTGTTCCTCTCGTTCCGTTCCTCTCGTTCCCTCGGTTCACGGCCGCTTCGGCACGACCATCATGCCCGGTTCGGCCCAACGTGCCATCCTCTTCGTGAGCTTGATCTCTTGTAACTCCTCCAACGACACCTGGGGGGGCGGCCATTGGCCATGCTTCTTCAAGTCTTCGAGGTCCTCCGGTCGGACGACACCCAAGGCCTGCATCATTTGACAGGCATTCGTGGCCGCGAAGTCCTCCGTGGCCAACAAATTCCGCGCCCGGTAGAGCGACCCACCCTCCGCCTCGGCCGCCTCACGACCCACGGCACCCGTGCGTTCGTTGCTGTTGGGGATGCTGTCGTGGAAGCTGAACTCACGATGGAGATCGAAGCGTTGGCTACTGGAGAGTTGCGGCTCTTGCTTGAAGTGGAAGTCCTGCAGCGTAGTGTGGGTGGGAGAGATGTGCGCATCGGAGTCTGAATCTGTTGTCTTTTGGGAAAAGCCGTCACACCGAACAAAGAAAGCGGGCACTGCTACAATAACAGCTGACAAAGCTACCAATGTCCCTTTTTTGAAACGGGAAAGACCTGGTGTTGTACAAAATCCTCTATACTAAAACATGCAATGAGTTATAATTATTAGTGATTTCTTGTTGTCTCCTTCAAGACCTGCATCACGATGTCCATCATTTCCATCCAATTCATTTTGCACTGCGTCTCATGCACTTCTAACGCGACACAGAAGGAGGCCAGAAACATTCCCACGGGAAATCCCGCTTGCATGGGACTGGCAGGGCCCATCGCTAAGGCGTCATTGCCCACGGACACTTGATTATCATCACATCCAGAGATACAAATCACGTCCGCATCGGCATAAAAGCCCCCCTTGTCCACTTGCCATTTCCCCTCCCATTCCTCCTTGGTGCCCTTTTCCATGTAGGGGCTCCATCGATAAGCCAGATCCAGTCCAGTGCCCGCATGGCAGCAGTCTAACAAACAGGTCAAGCGCACCCCGGCAGCTAAGGGCTTCCTTGGCTTAAGGAAGCCGGAGAAAATGAAATGACAAACACAAAACGCCGAGTAGAATAAAACTCCCAAACTCCTTGGCCAGTTCACCCATGTTTTGGCCAGTTCATTGGCCTTAAAGCATGGGCGAATGGTGAAGGAGTTTGGGAGTCCCAGTTTGGGAACATCAACCAATTCACCCACTTCAAAATACCGCCACCCTTCGCGCGCACCAAAACCGCCAGGCTTCACCAAGAGCTCGTGCAACTCGTCGTCGATCAGCGGCCCCGACTCATCCACGTCCACTGGCACGATGGCCTCGTCCTTGCCGTCCTTCTCGTCGTCCTGGAGGGGTGCAGCAAGCGGCCGAAGCCAAGTAGGGAGCTTCCGGAAGGCACGCCAAGCCTACTCCCACCCCAGGCTTCCCGGAAGCCAAGCATGAATTTCATAGGCTTCAATTTACTGAATCAACGAAGGATTTTACACGACAAAAACCAGGTCGTTCCTATTTTTTAAGGGTCGAACGGAAGTCATTAATATAGAGAAAATCACACGGATGTGTTTATGGTGTTCATGGTTTTAGTCTTATACTAAGAACTTCATTTGTACAAAACAAAGGGGAAGAAGACGAAGGGGGCAGAGAGGAACCACATGGAACTCCAGCAAAAAGAAACACGTCGGCCACAGGGATTCACCAGCGACGTCAGAGGCGACGTGTTCTTTTGACAAACAGGACATCGGGCTGAGGTGGATATGGCTCTGGACGACTGGACGACTCTGTTCGATGGACTTGGATGCGACGGGTCGATGAAGTACCACCAAGGAGTTGAGGTACGTGGTGACCATGGACCCAGTGCATCCCAGGCAATCAACCCACGAGTGCGTCGTACGGAACCAGGGGCCCTTCGGAACCGGTCGAACTGGTGCTTTTTTTCGAACTGGAATTACTGGGACTCCCAGCGACATCGTGGGAACTGCCTGGATGCCCTGGGGTACATATATCCCTAGAAATCGAACCACCATTGCTTTCATAGCCGGGTCATCGCGAACCACCATTGTTTTACTAAGGGTTTTACACTACAACAAAACCAGATGATCGTTCCCATTTAAAAATTAGTCAACTTGACTTCCAGGGTATGTTCCATCCAAGATAGTCAACCCGACCCTCTCTGGTGCGATGGGAATGACTCTCGTGGTCTCGTTCTCTGTCTCTGTCCTGCCATGGGAACACCACCGACCACCGAGTCCTGGAAGTTGGGTACTTGTGTTCCATGGCCACTGAAGAAGAACAAAAGGCTGTCTCCTGGCACTGCCTCATGCACCAGCCAGCTGATGGAGTCTCGGATGTTGCTCTTCGTTGGCATGGTGCTTTCAGAGGTGTCGCCCAGATCCATGAGAACCCTCACATGCTCCGAATCATTGATGAATCCCCACTTCTCGCAGAGATATTCCTTGATCTTGTAGGCATCTTCGGCACAGTGTCCCAACGCCATGGAGGTCTTGGGATAGCTACACCCGATGAAGAGCCCTTTGCAATTGGGCTTCTCCCTGGCCGGTTCTCCGGTGATCCCCTCCGGGATCAGCGTGGCGGCCACCCGGATCGCGGCCGTCTCCTGCGCGCTCCAACAGCGAGCGCGGTGGGAACAGCGAGCGGGTGGTAGGGAGTGCATCACCATGCAGGTCCAGGGTTGGTAGCTGCCGTTTTTTCACCTGGTTAGAGTATGTGGTTTTGCACATGAAATACAGAGAGAGATCATACATATTATATATGGACTTCAACCCACTGAAGACAGAGTCTGTCTTGGTTGGAGGTCTTCTGACTTTCGACCCGACCAATCGAAAGAAAAGTTCGGGCCTTGACGCCCTCCTCTCTCGTCGCCATGATGTAATCCTCCACCTTCCGCAAGCCAGGTAGAAAGTGATGCCATTGAATGGTCACAGAGGCAATCTTGATGCTCTCCTGTCGGCTCAAGCGGTTCATCACTTCGAAGTCAATCTCAAGAGTGCCGCCTGTATACTCCACCTGAGCAGCTATGCAGCTATATGCGTTTTGCTATGCGTTTTGCTACCTGAATTTCACCCAAATTGCATGGTGATAGGGATTGTGGGCAGAGAGCAGGACAAATGGCCATGACAAGAATCAGAGGCGAACAATGAGTTACACCCCCCTTCACCTCCTTGGCCTCCCACCGCCTACCTAGCCTTCCAGCTCCGTGCCCAAGTTCCGGTGTTGCCTTCCAGGGAGACCTGTTCCGGTTTGGCTCCCAGGAAGACCTTTTGCAACATTGGTTGGGCTAACACACTCACAACTACCTCAGGAAGAAGGAGGTCTTGGCCCGCCTGAAACTTGTTCTTCTGCCACTTTGGATTCGTAGCCCCCTGGTCTGCGTCTGTGCTGTATTCCTGACCGCCATAAGTGAACTTGCAGAAGCAATTTGGGTTCTGCACAAAGAAGTGTCTCCCACAAAGAACCTCCAGCACCAACGGCATGTTTGGGAATATGGCTTGGACTCCTTGTTTAGGTTTGTCCTTCCAGAGCCAAGATGCTTGACATGTTTCGCCAATGCCCACATGACACAGAAGATCACATGACACACACGGAAACCTTCAACAAAAGCAGTTTCAGTGCAGCGTCTTCCATGAAGCACCTTTTGCACAGCTGCAATGCACAGCGAGCTGACGCTCTGCTCAGCCATACAGAATCGATCACAGATCGATCGACCAAAGGATCGATCGGATTGGCTAGCAGGGGTTATTGGACTCAACTCTTGATATCGTCAATGATATTCAATATCCATGCATAAGGTCAACAATCCCTGGTGAGTTGATCAAGGCCCTGACCTCTTCTGTGCGATACTTTTGGCACAACACAACACGGCCCAGTGCCGCCGCGGCCCGTTGTGTCCGCCCAAACCATCGATCCATGGCCGGTGGTGACGATGGCCCATGCGTGCGTTGCCAGCTGCACTACTCTGCACTGAGTAGTCCCAAACACTCCAATGGGACTGGTATATTGACCGATCAGTCAGGCCAGGGGTGGTGAAATACAGAGGGATCAAGGGATGGGAAATCTGACGTCGACATGGAGTGTTGAGCTCTGCGCTCTGCGCTGCTCTGCGCTGCGCTGCGCAGCGCGGTCTTCACACGGAAAGATCCCGAAGATCCGGAGCTGGTGCTTCGGCCCCACCGCCTGCGCGCGGCTCTCGCGCGCGGCCTCCAACCAAGAGGAGGGTGCGAACGGGATCATGGGGAGGTTGGTCGTTTTCTGCCACACCCCCACTACAAGAGCAGTTCGGGATGAAACACCTTCTGTAACGGTTCTCAATGCTGATGTCAATGGGTTCCAACCCGTTGTTGGGACTGGGGAAACCCACGAACGTTCTACGAAGTCCATGTTTTCGACGTCGTCCTGTCCCAGCGAACCCACCGACCCGACAGCGAACCCTTTTTCCATCGCTGACGTCGTGCGGTCATGGTGTTCTCGTGGGCTCGGAGCGAACTCGTGCGGTAGGGCCAGTAAATTTGAAGCTTCATGAACTTAATTTCATTGGAAAAACGAAAGAAGTACCACAGGCTCTATTTGTTGCATGATGTTATCTTAACTACCCAGACGATCCAAACAGCCCTTGGTCCCTCAAAACCTAGGGATTTGAGACCCCAGACCCCTCCATATGAGGGTCCGACCCTTCCATATGAGAGCCCATGAGCGTCTGGGTATTTGTTTTAAACTTAAACCACATATCATCACAATTCATCACATATATAAATCATATATATATCAAAAATGTCTTCAAACATGTCTTCGCTGCAAGAAAGCCAATTCCTCTATAAAATCAGACCCCCATCCCCCCAAAGGGGGGTATCATAAAACGTTTTACGGCGTACGTTGACCCTCCTGATTTCATAGGCGTTCTTGACACGATTATGACCTGTAGGTATATATATATAGGTATAGGTCGTCCTCCCCGAGAGGCAATGATGATCATGTGCCAGCACCATGGAGTTGGTTCATAGACACCCCTTTTCCCTAGGCATGGCATTGTCCCTCCAAGAACCACCCGAAATCCGTGGTGCTGGTGTATATTGTATCGTTGAAGCTTCCACTTCGAGGAAGTCTTCTAGCCATGACTTGCCGTGACGTCTTCTGCATTGGTCATTTGTTACGTCCCCAACGGGTCCCCATTCGAGCCATGTGGTTTTCCTTTTGAGCCATTTTTGGCTCGCTCGGTTTTCGACAGCTAAGATCTCTCTCTCAGGCGCTCTTAGAGCCCAGAAAGGACTTCTTCACCTTCTCAAAGACCTCCGAGACCTCCCACGACGGCCCGCGAGATGCAAGACGCGGCCGGGCTGAGCTTTCCACCGGGCGCTGGGGCTCGAAGGGGCTCGTTTTCTTTAGAGAAGCGGCCGTTGCCTTTGAGGTATGTTCGTTTCGGACTGGGAGGATCCGCCGAAAAAAAAAAAAAAAAAACTCCGGAGTCACAGTCACAGTGGTGGTGTTTAGTCAAGTTTAGTCCGAGTGGATAACGGGCACTTTAGCCTCTATTGAGCACCCCTTTGGAACTGCAAAACGCTACATGTTAGGTCATTTCACCCGGACCGCGAACGGGGACTTCCGAGAGTGAGTGGAAAGCGATGCTTCCGCTTTCGAGTGCTCCGCTCATTTATTAAGCCCTAAGAATCCGGGCCCTCAAACAGATAGGGTTTGGTTCGGGCCCGGACCCCTGCTATGGAGGTCGGGTCCGACCCCTGCCATGGAGAGCCCAAGGATTCTTAGGGAGTGAATTCATCCTTCCAAAATCTTCCAAACCTCCCGCAGATACCAGGACCCTTGCGGCAAAAAAAAAGGGTGTCTACCTTAGGATTCCAAAAAACGAAGAAAACGCCAGCTCTGAGTGAATACCCGGGGTTTTCAGATGAAACCCAGGGTTTTTAGCTTAAACCTGGGTTTTGGTTTTCCTGTGCCCTGTTTTCCCCACTGAGAGGGAACCTGCCCTGGTCTGAATTAGGTGATCTAAGGTGCACTCAGCTCCTGGATTTAACTGTAGAAGGGCAAAAAATACAACTGCGACTGTGGGCTACAATTTCTGGTCATTTGGACAGCCCCCAGACCCACGAATTTTTCATGGGTTTGCACGAGTAAATCACGGGTTACTTGACGCAACATCTCAATCCGGAACTTTTCCCGATTGGGGTAAGATAATTCCGTTGTGGGGAAGATAATGGGTTTGAAAGAACCTGCGCTGCTTCATGTTTCTTGGGTTTTTACCAGGTTGTCCTGGTCAAGTCAAGACTTAGAGCGTTTAATCGCTGCCTGGCTGCCGGATGGCAGGAAACCCGGGGTTTTGAATGGACACCCGATGTTTTGGATAGACACCCTGGTTCTTTATTGGTGTGGTGTATAAACCCGACGTATCCATCGGAACCATTCGGAACCCGTCATTTTTTCAGGGTTTGGATGCTAAGGGTATATCGCAAGAACTCAGTCCAAGGACTATGTTTGGCGCTGAACTAGCACCCCACAACTGGCTGTGGACCTGTTTGGATGAAGACCTCTGCCCAAAACGACCAAAAACCAATCTCCAGAGCCATTGGAGCCACATCTTCGGGGGAAGGCTCTCCACCGCGCCTCGCCGGCCGCCAGCTCCGGGAAAACCTTCTCCGAGTCCTCCGGAGCCGTCGGTTGGTGCGGGGACAGTTCAGTGCCGTCCGGACGAAGCGACCGGGCGCGAGAACGGTTCCGGACCTGGGGGTGTCGACCCCACCGGGCGCGATGCTGCTCACGAAATCGTGTCGAATAGACGACACAACCGGTGGATTTCCATCTTTTTGCACACCCCTTTGAAGGTTCAGGTACCAGTCACAAGACGGGGTGCCTAAAAAAGAGGATCGGGTGCCGAACTTGTGTCACATCCACTCACTCACGGACGAAAAACCACCCGTCACCCCACTGTAACTCCTGGTATATTCATCAGTCTAGAGGTATCCAGTGACCTGAACTAGGACCCAACGCTACCTCAGGGTACCAGAACTACGATATAGTATATATATAGTCTATAGTTCGGGTTCTTCAACCTCTGTTGGTTCATAAACATTGGGTGTTCTTTGAGTGTCTGGTGAAGGCCCACGGTGGGCCGGTGCCCCGTGATGAGGGCTCCGTCACAAGGGGGAGCTCGCTGGTCCCACGGGGCGGGGGGAGCACAAGACCCAGCGAAAACAAAGCAGAAACGGAAGATGCTGGGGAGTTTTGCATCATGACACATTGGTTTCTGCTTGGTAAACCAAGCAGTTCCAGGCTTTTGGGGTGATGGGCGCAAGGTAGAAGTAACTGCCCGGTCTCCTTAGGAGTCGGAGGCTGAGGGCCAATGTACCGGCGGCAACGCCCCTGTCGGTCGTAGCCGGTGGGCCAGGTATGCAAGAAGATGTTCCGCAACAAGGGCACCACCAACAAGAGGAAGAAGGGCATCGAGAAGAAGCCATGCACGAACTTCACAAAGTTCATCATCGACATGATCTGAAGTGAAATCAGATCCCAATCCTTTTGAGCCAGCACGCCCAGAATCGCACCAATGCCACCCAGTGAAAGCACAAGGTCCTTAGTAGTATCTTGCTTTGTCAAAAAAGGAAGGAAGGAATCCCAAACGGGAAGGATTGTTACCATTCATGAACATGTTTCGAAGTGGACTTGAGAACTTAAGGATTCACCTTCCAGGGGAAATAAGAAATCGCTCATCACATCCATGAGTCAAAGACCAGCAGGTAGATCATGTTTCCACCGATCCTGCTTTTCCTCCCTTCAAAGGGATCATTGGGGGGTCTCTGCCGACGAGCGCGACAAAGCAAGAAGAAACTGAACCAAACCAGAAGGAGTCGAAGGACGTAGCCAATGAAGTCCATGTACAAACCAACCTGGCAGGTCTTTCTTTCTGCCAAGGCTGCCAAGAATCTCTCGGGATGGCCAAACACACTTCTGCAACTTTGACTGCTGCAAGTAGGGAATGAGGGTGGCTGGATCCTATATAGCCCCTCATTGTCCCTCAAGATCCATATAGAGGGTCAAACACCCTCATATATTCCCTCCTTCGTCGTACGGAAACATCTTCCAACCGTGTAAAGATTCATGACATCTCCAGACTCGGGGGGGGCGTTTCCCAGCACTCCGAACGGAGAAAAAAACAGCTAAGACCCCGTTCCAACCTGACCTGCGACATGTGGACATGTCATCAGACTTGGGAACGGAACCTCCTCGTCATGATGTGTTCAAGGCGTCGACCGGTTCCTTTGACCACACCACAAGGGTTCGACGGTTCCCGCGCCTCCTGAAACGTCGACGGCAGAATGGTGTCCTTGGATGAGCAGCGAGGAACCCCCGCAGCTATAACATGTTATAAAACGTGTATTCCCCAGTTCGGGAAGAGACCAATTCATCATTCAGCAAAAGTCAACCTAGCAGGAAACAACTCTTCTCGGCTCTGGGATTCAGTTCGGCAACAAAAAACATCTGAGCGATCGCCCAAACCAGGTATCTGCAAGACAATCTTTGCCATCCTGCACGCACACGAAGAGCTCTATGTACCTGGTGGGCCACCAGATACAGGGAACTGTTCTTTTCTGCGAAAAAGCACATAAAACGCACGGGAGCGGTTTCCTTTGTTCTCTTGGGTGCTTTTGCAGAAATATGTGTCTTAATAAGACCAATGACGATAGGATATTGTATCGGGTGCACTCCAAGTGCACGAAAAATGTGCAAT